TACACTGGTAATTGACTTCGACGTAATCGCACATGTTCGAAATGTATGTATGACATTCAATAACAAAAGAGGTCTCGGAGTGAGATTAAAAGTGAACGAAGCTCAGGAGATAAAAGTGAAGATATAAATAGAAATAGTCTAGTCCTGTCTAGCCGCAAGTCGACTGTTGGCGGCAAGTATGATAACATATGCATAGGCCAAGCGGGCCTGATGTAGATTTTGGCAGGTAACGCAGTGCGCCGGTAACTAGCAAAGTAACCACCCACCCCTCGTACGCGAGCTGGTAGGGGTGAATTGTTTTTTGTATCTTTTTTTTTTTTCAAGAAGTACATTTTTTTTTTTTTATGACTTTCCAGTTTTTTTTGTTTTTTGTTTTTTGTGTTTTTTTTTTCCCCTTGTCCATGCGAAGGGGTACAAGGAACTGAATGCACTCATGGTGAAAAAGCAATTGAGCGTTCGTATCAAGATGCATTCTTGGAATGGTGTAATTGAGATATTGTACAGGAGTACTTGTGTTCCTTAAAGAGGATATGCCGGACCGGTCTGGTCTGTCCCCAGATGCTGTGAAACAGGGAGCAGGAAACCTGGCCTGACATCGGAGGCGAGTGGATTGATTGAGTAATATCCCTAGGATGGCTTGAGGCACAGTATATCCATTTCCGGCCGTGGAGGATTATGACGAAGGGAGGAATTTTTTTACCCTTCCTCTCCCCAGTCGCTTATGCACAACTGCCCAGCTTCCGCGGTGCAAGGAGAAGATCCACCATATCAGTTGAGGAGATCGACGTTCCTGGTTTTGACATCGCATGCCTCAAAAACCCGAAGGGGGCTGTGATATAACTGCCTTCCCGGGCTTGAGTGCATTCGGTGCTAGCTTGTCCCAGGTAACGTCAACTGTGCAGGAAGGGACCTCAGCTTGCGAGGCAGCGGCCGGCCTTCCCACAATTATTTAGTCCAAAAAGATGTAAAGAAGAACAAGGTTTATATTACTCCCACCTATATGCATGTCCCTGCACCCAATGAATTATCTCTCGGGGCAATGTCGCAAGGCTCGGCACACAATGCCTGTCTGCTGATTTTCGCAAGGCCAGGTTTCGTATTATTATTAACAATTCCACAAAGAGATGCTAGAGTCTCGAAATTGGCAATCCAGACCGCATTGCGCGGGAAGAGCCGTGTTAGATGCGCATATCTGGGCCCGAAGAAAAACGAGATGCGCGATAGAACGAATCGGATACTCCGAGACATTTTCCTCGACGTATTTATGCATATCTGCATCAGGGTTGGAATGATCCTTCCCCAGGCCGGCCGCAAGAGTAAGAGTTGTATTCGGCAACTAGGAACAGCCAGGTGCCAAGCTAGCGGTAACTAAGGGGGAGTGGAATCTAGCGTCCGATGTCATTAGCCAGATAGTGATGCTGGAAAGACAGCTCGAAATTAGACAGCTCGCATTCACGGCAAGTGGTAAAGAGTGGTTGAACCAATCGATATCGGGAGGCGAACGTTGGGAATAGGAAGAAAGAAGGTTTTCTTGAGGGACGCAGAAGTCTTTCTCAGTCGTGGTTGAATGATGAGTTGCCACAGCATACTCCATACTGTTTATGTTAGTAGCGAACCGTTTTCCAGAGCCCACATGAGCAAAAGGGGGAACGAAAGCTGGGCAACCGGCTATGTGGAGGAATTAGTTACGGCCAACAGGAAGCGATATCTTTATAAACCAATCTACGCACGCGTTGATGACAAAAAAAGGGAATTCATCCGGACATTAAAGGGCCAACGAGGAAAGAGAGGAAAACGACGGAAGCGGGGAAAAAAGAAAGAAAAGCATCAGGAAAGGGTGAATGGACATGAACTTCGTCAAATAGGTGAGACGAAAACGAAGCCAATGGCACCTAGAAGTGCCATAATGATATATTGACGAGATGCCGTGGGTATCGTGACCAGGAAAAAGGAAATAAAAGATTTTCCAAGCAGATCATGTCAGTCAGTCACTGCTGTCCATCCAGCCTCGGGACATCTCGACAGCCTTGGACCACTTTTTATAAATTCGATTGCTTTCTTCTTCAGGGAGCCTTGGTTCGAACACTGTCTTGTCTGATTGTTTGAGGCCTTCCAGGTTTTTGGGGCCTTCCCAGATCTTGATGGCGATCCCAGCGGCAATTGCCGCTCCCAGCGCTGTTACTTCGTGCATTGCTGGGCGTTTTACAGGTATGCGAATGATATCGGCTTGTGACTGCAGCTGTGCGTTAGCTTGTTACGTTACTTAATGGCCCGAGTCAGAATGATACACGTACTTGCATGCAGACGTTGGAAGTACTTAGGCCGCCGTCCACCCTCAGCTCAGCAAGCTTTTGTCCGCTATCACGTTCCATAGCATCCAAGACGGCCTTGGTTTGAAAACACACTGCTTCTAAAGTTGCTCGGGCGATATGACCCTTCTTAGTATGCTGTGTGATACCAACTAGTCGGGATACTGTTAGTATGACAGTTTTTTTCTTCTTCCACTGTTGTCCATTTTTGTTTCGTTGACTTGGGGGGGCAAAAAGGGAACTTGAACATACATATTGTTCCTTTTGCGGTATCGATCCAATAAGGAGCGAAAAGACCGCTGAATGCAGTAACGAAGACGCAGCCACCATTATCTTGTACACTGGAAGCCTCGTCATCGACCCTCCTGGCATCTCGGAAAAAGCCCAAGTTATTCATAAGAAAGTTGACGCCGCTCCCGGCAACGGCTATGCTACCTTCCAAGGCATATACCGGCTTTGAGTTCGCGCCCAACTGATATCCCACGGTTGCGAGAAGCCCATGAGAGGAGATAACTGGCTTTTCACCAACGTTGTAAAGCAAAAAGCAACCGGTTCCGTAAGTATTTTTAGCCATGCCGGGCTCAAATGCTTCATGACCTACCAATGCAGCAGACTGGTCACCAAGACAACTCATGATTCGAACCCCTTGAGAA